TTCAGCTTTGCCTCAACAACTCCCTGGTAGAATCCATTATGGAAAGATGTCACACGGGACTCTTGGACATTTCTAACATTCCACAGGCAGTTTGTTAGCCTTTAGCTGTGTGGTTCACGCTGATAACCTGAACAGTGATTTGAAATGAGTAGTTTTTTTGACAGGGCACCCAAGGTGATATTTACAAAGAATTTACTGTTGAAATGCTGCATAACTATGTTGTAAATCATTCGTTAATGGTGTTGAAATATTAGGTCACTTTGAGGTCTGTCTGCTTAAGTAGTTCATCACACATTTAGAAAGGGCTTTTACTTGTCCATGCTATTAACGATGCGATAGCTTCATAAGTCATGAATAAACAATGAAAACATAACTATTGTGAAGCTTGTTTTGCCACACTTAGTATTGGTCTAATTATGTAATCCCTCTATTGAAAATGAGTTATTGATTTAAGGTTAAAGTTTTGTTTTCATGCAAATAACTATGGTACAAATCATTGATAATTCTGAAACCATGCTGGTGATAAAAAGATCTCATAATGAAATGAATGGAAACTCCATTAATCCATTTCAGGCTCAGACCCCCTGTGTCTACTCACCCCCCCACCCCCAGCCCCAAAAAAAAGATGTGTATTGTATTGAAGCTCTATGGTTACCTGAACCTATTTTGGAATTATAAACTAAACATTAGCATCTTTAAAAAATGGCACAACCACATACAGCAATTATCTAATTGCATAGAATGTAAAGACATAAAGAGTTTCATGCCACATTTTTTTTTTGCTGCAATTTAGAGGACATTGTGTGTTACTCCCTAGCCACAGGAACTGTATCTAGACAAAGAGAAACACGAAGAAGCGTTTCACAACTGACTTGATAAGCTTGAGTCAAGATGAGTAATATACACCTTATTTCCTTTACTGCAATATTGTCGGTCTACATGTGCTACCCCTCCGTTTGTCTTCAAATGTCTGTTGCTTCAAGGCTTGTAAGTCAGTCTGTGGCATTTTGCGTTGGTTGTGGGCATTAGGATAAATGGACCGTCGTAAGATAAAACTCTGTGGTTGTTTTAAATACAAAACATTTCTTGATGTGTTATATTTACTTTGATATTTAACTTCAACTGGGAGTTGCAATAATCAGCTCGAAACCTTGTTTTTGAAGATTTGCTTCATATTCAACAAATTGCTGCTTTCTGTGAAAAATGTGAAAGTTGCTGGCACCAAACAGCGCTCGGATCACAAATTTGAAGTCGCAAGTCAAAGCAAAAAAAAAAAAAAAAGTTGAAAAAAAGGTGTGTCATTGTACTTCAACATGAGCTTACATAAAGCCTTAACAAACTATGAGACAACACAATTAGGAACCCTTTACACATGCTAAAATACAAATGATGCCACAAATCATGAATAAAAAAAAAAAAAAACATTTTCAAAATGCGCTCACTGAGTATAAGCTTCTTAAGCAATACTTATGACTACATGTGTTTATAAAGCAGTAACAAAACAGGTAATAACACTTATAAATACTACACTAGTGTCCCTTTGTAAGGAGATTATACATAAACGGTTAACAATGTTAAAAACACTTTGTAAGCCATCAGTAAACGATTAAAAATGACTTCACACACTTAGTGTGTATTACGCTGTTATAAAGTGCATTTAAATCCTCAAAGGGTAACATAAATTAAGGGTTAGAGGTTTCGGTGAGGAGCTTGATTTGGTTTAAAAAAGTTGAAGTGGTTCTCTGTATACACACACACACACACACACACACACACACACACACACACACACACATTCTCATTCAGTTGAGTTAGGTTCGAAGGACTGATTGACAGGATGCACTTGCGAGCAAGGAATGTCGCATAGGCATTTGGGTGCCTGCCCGTAATTTTGCGTGCGCGTGTTCCTGCACGTGTGTGATCTGTCACGTTTGAGGTCATCCACAACACACCGCGCAGAAGTTATCAATTAACCCTTTTTGAGAATGTACAACAAAAAGGAAAAGATCGAATTTGGAAAATATGTCCTGCAACTGTATCGATCCATCTATCAACAGGAACTTTCGTCTCTGACGTTGAACTCTGACATCAATATGAAAGAAATCAAAGTTATTCTCTCTGTAGCCAAACTTTGTCATTCATATTTTTGTCCACCCTCTTCAAACACGACGTGTGACTTGACGAGTTGTTGAAGAGGAAGAGCGCCTTGACGTTTCCTTTTGTGGGTGACGTTACCTCAACCCCAGACAGCCTAGTTTTCAGCTGCGATTAATGAGGCGTCTCCTACCAAGAGTGGCCAATTAAGTCATTTGAACATTATGGCCGTCTGGCCAATACAACATCCACTTTCGGTTATATGAGCATTACAGATGACTATTATTGAGCCTGCCCAAACCAGACAACAAAAACTGTTATTTATTTTTGGGCTGATGAGTATTAAATCACCTAAAACATTGCTTCTCACAGGAAACGGTGAAAAAAGGTTGAAAAAAAGCCATAATGTTAAAAGAGTCGTGCTAAAATTATGGTTGGGACTAAAAATAAAATGAATGTATATGCACTTTTCTGTGTTCAGAGGTATGCCAGAGATGCTGACAATTGTTGTGGTCACAAAGGAACAAGGCTAGTCAGTGTCTCTTGTCAAATTTCACCCCCAGTCACTTTTGCCATTCCCATTTTGGGGGGTGGGGGGGCCCTACATGTCTCATCATAACGGATTAATTTAGTTTTCTTTGATTTCAAGTCGAATTTTTTTAGTCTTAATTGACACGCTTTAAAACACACACAAAATCTTAACCTGCTGACACTTTTCGAGTGCCATGCACCCCGTTCCTTCTCATACTATGGATTAGCCCATCTTCTGAACTGCACATGCATGCGCAGTATTTGATTCAGCACGACAGGAGCAATAGAAGCTTGTTGGCCTGGTTATCAGGAAAATAAAGGAGAGTTACTCTCACGTTGCGGGGAAGTCAGTGAAAAACAACATTTAAAAAAAGAAAAAATTACTGAAGGTTTCAACCTTTTTTAACAGTGACACAACAAATGCACGAAATTGACAAGCACAAGAGCCACTTCACTTGCCACTCGCAGTTACGATGCAGTCAGTGTCAGCTGAGGGGCCACAATTGAGCTATGGTGTGACAGTACTTGAGGAAATGCATTACCATATTTTCCGCACTATAAGGCACACCTAAACGCATTCAATTTTCTCAAAAGCCGACAGTGTGCCTAATCATCCGACGCGCCTTATATACGGATCAATATATGATTTCTTGGACGTAGTATTTTAAATGTTCTGTAAAGTGCTTTGTTACAGCTGCTGTGGTTGTGAAAGCTCTATATGACTAAAGCTTTATTGTATTGTATTGTATTCCCTTTCGCGCAGCTCCATCTAGTGGATTCATAACGTAACCGCATCCACAATTGTAGCTTCTATTGTATAAGCCTTATAATGCGGTGCGCCCTATGTATGAAAACCGTTTTAAAACAGGCCATTCATTCAAGGTGCGCCTTATAATCTGAAGTGTTTTATAGTGCGGAAAATACAGTATGTTACAAGACGAACACTATTTGATGTGCTCTTTCTCCTAACAAGACAGCGATGCACCTGGGAGAGTATTGGAGTATGATGAAGAGTTGGATTGTGAGATGTCATGACTCATTCAGCAGTTTGAACCGTCACATTATTCAGTGTTCCCCACTTAGAGACCACACTGCCCTCTGGCCAAAACGGCTCTCAGGCAATGAGGGGCTGCTCACTAATGCAGAAAGGTCCTCTTCTGGTCAAGGACAGAATATTTACAAGGAATCAAGATTGAAAAACAATTAGTGCAGTATGCACAAGAGGAGGAGAAGGAGAAAAGAGAAGTACGCCCTGGCTAAGTATAGTGAAAATAAGGACAGTGTGATCTGCTTTTTGGGGCCTGTTTGGAAACCAAGACAAGAGCACTCAACTAAGTGGGGATGTGGTGGGTTTGTGTTGGGCCCCCAAATGGCAAAACACGCCCCTGACTCTTAGTTCTGCCTGTGGGTTAATATCACTGTAAAGCGCCTGTGGTGGTCTCATCGCAATCACTCATTCGTCTTGAAAAGGTAACACAGTACAACTCATAAGAGTCTCGTTGGAGATTCTTGGTTTTGGAATGTCCCACACACTGCTCTGCTTACTCCCGTGTGTGTAACAAGTGGTTAAGTGATATTAAATGATGTATGTCTGAACACAGTTTTATTGCGTTCAAGTTTTTTGATAACTCGAGCCTCATTGATCATGTATATTCTAGTTTCAGATCCATATCACACATGCATGACTGAAATTGCTGCCCAGCCTGTCACTTTATAAACTTCTTGTTTCCCTTGGATGTTTTCAGTAACATGCCCAGCATTTCTTTCTCAATTCACCGGAGGGTGACACAGTAGCTGATTGTAGAACAAAGATTTAGACGTAGGTTTTATAAATGTCATCCTGTGTAGGTTGTCCAGTTTAACTGTCCATTCTCTTATGGTGACATCCATAAATCTTTCAGAAATCCAAAGTTCATTTGTTAAAGACGACAAAGTCAGCTTACTCTCTGAATCACGTTCCTAATTGAAGGTCCACCATGTCCTTATAACATGCTAATATTAGCCCTGTCAGCAAGCTCACACACAATGTACATTGCTTGCAGTTTGATTACTAATTATGGCTAATTTCCAACAATATAAGATCTAATTCATCCTGTACAATGAATACGAAGTACTGTGTAGTGGAAAAACTCCACTTTCTGGGGGCTGGGAACGTCTCTGATATGATAATAACTTCCATAATAAGTAAGATTTGAGCAAGAGCCAGCTACAGTACAGTAAAGCGGGACAAATTTGAGAAGGAACAAGTGCCAAAAGAGCATAATTGTTGCCACTCTTCTGCAAGGTGTTCTTCCACACGCCAGCACCCCCCCGGAAAGTGTCCGACTCGCAAAAGATCTTCCCTGAAAGATCCAAGAAGGGAACCAACGCTATACCTGATGTCAAAGTCGCCGGCCTTCCTCCTTCTCATGCCTCAAGAACCTCCAAAATCCGGTGCAAGTGATGCGGTCCCACGCTTGGTTTCTTCATGCTGAATTCCATTGAAGGGAAACCAAAAATAATTCAAATAACAAATAAATAAATGACAATTAAAATGTGGGATTATTTTGTCTCTGCTCGAGACAACTTCAGACTTGCTTCACATGCAATGCAAGATGACACTCCCTCAGCAGCGCTCTCATCTCCACCCTTTTCTCACCCGGGTCCTCCTCTTTGACACACACACACACACACACACGCACACACACACACACACACACACACACACACACACCTCTTGCCCAGATTGTCAACCGTGCGCTCCCCCTCCTCACGCCCGCAGGCCTCGGGGCCTGAGCCAGGATTCAACTGTTTCAACTGCTGCTTTTTGAATATTATTTGTTGTTTTTGTTGATGTTAAAGTGACATCAGTTCATCAAATTCCAGCAGGAAGGAGCCTGCTCTATTTTGTTCCCAACTGTAGCACCTGGAATTCCAGAAGGTCTTTTGTACAAGAACATCTTGAACCAGAGGGTGAAGAAGAGAAGATACTTTGTTGCCAAACAACATTTGGATGTCTCACAAATAATCAATTAAAATGATATCATAAGTAAAAAAAGCACAAAATAAGTTGTTAATTACCAAACAAAACATGAAACATGACCAAAAAAGTTTGTTGAACTGCATGCAGTGTTTGACTTGCCGATGACTGCATGTACAGTTTAAATTGCACATGTTAAAAGTTTCAATCTGTTCAGATTTTAAGTTTATTTTTTTAACAAGGACAACCTTAAGAACATTTGGAGCTGCTTCGAACGACCGTTTTTGATGGCAAATCATCAATTTTCATTGTTCAAAAGGCCCCTATAAACCAAAGATTATCAAGCATTTTTTGGTCGGTCTACACATTATAGACAGATCTACCAAATTACATGTTGCTAAGTGAAACAAGGGCTGAATTTTTCAAATTTACCTGAATGGCCAAAGTGAATCTAAAAGTTCAATTCAGCTATGTCATCACATGCAGCAAAATCAAACAGGCATTTCAAAGCAAAATGGCTGACACCGTGTCATTTCGGGCATATGTTCTTGAGTCATTTTTGTGGCTCAACTAATGTTTGACACATGCACATTTTTATGTTCACAAAAGAAATTGTATTGGACAAATTAGCCTAAAAAGGCTGCTTTGAACCAAAATTGTGCTTTAGATCACGGTTTGTTTCAATTGTTTGGGTCTGATCATGATAGAAATGCAAACCAAATTTCCTTCTGCTAGGTGAAACTGAGTACGATGGATGAATTTGCAAAACAAACAATAGAAAAGAAATGACACACGGATATCAGCGATGGTGTGGAATGTTTGAGGGTCTGTTGTGAGTGCATTGTGGGAGGGAGGGAAGGAGAGCAAGTGGAGGAATTCAGACAGACAATGACCTGTGTTACCTTAAATGACATCCTTGGCTCTTAAGCTTTGAGGACACCTAACGTAAACATTTTGATGGTGGAAGGGGGGTGAGCTGAGGATAAGAGGAAAATCAAGATTAGCAATGTCTCATGTCTTAAAGTAGTCAAGTGACTGAATCTTGACAGTGAGATTTTTCAGAAAAAAATCTTGGCACATCAATCCGGGACCCCTATCAACATTTCCTGTAGGAACATAAATAGAGCGGCCCTGTTCGACCTCTGTGAAAGCTGTCAACATTTAACTACTATTACTGTAAGAGCCACATTAACTGTATATTATGGAGGTATAAATTTGATCAAAGACAAATAAATGAATGAAAAATGATAAATGTTACAACATGGTTATAACTGTTTAATAACAGTAACATTCAGTAATAGATGTGAAGTAATGTTTCTGTGCATGACTCATGTTTTGAACGAAAGAATCCGACTATTGTTAAAAAATAATGTCAAAAACAACAGCAAGGAAAACGAAAAAAAAAAAACCCTACTTTAACACCATTGCTACCATTATGGTGCTGTGTCAATACTGTATCTGTATTTACGTTATGATGATAACAGTGAATTATAATATGTGGCAGACAATATGAAGATCACTGTATCAAATTTATGCTCACAATGCAAATCAAAATTGTTGACCAAGATGGGGCTCATAATATGGAAAAAAAAAGGTAAATAGCTGGCACGCTTATAAGGTACCCCTGTATCTTGCTGTTAAACAACCAACCCGAGAAAACCCAATACCCTAATTTTTATGTTATTTCCAACATGCAAATGATAACTACCACAAACAAGAACAAGTGAAAAAAAACCAACTATTCGCACAAAATGTACAAGACAGAGAAAAGGCAAACACAATAAGGGGCGGGAAGAAGTGTAATTTATTTAACCCCAGCCCATTTACAATTAATATTCATCAGCTATTTAATTTCCTCACCATTTTGTATCATTCTCTTTATATTGACATATATCGGCATGCATATATATTCGCATACATGTTGTATATACACACTGTATATATTTACACATATAGCTTCATGTGCAGATATGCACACATCCTCTGTCCCATGATTCATAATTGTGCATATAAATATTAATAGACCGAAAGATCGACCATCGAAACACACAACAATGAAAGACATGCTGTGTTTTTGAATTGGGTTATGTTGGAACATTCCTTGCGCTCCTCCTCTTCCACCGTTTGAGGCCACAAACAGTTAAACGAAAACTTAACTCTTGGTTGTGTGCACTCTCTATGGAAATCTACATCTCAATCTATGTGTATAACACCCTTCCCTTACAATTCATCATTTCTGAATATTTCTAGCTAGCAAATATTTTATGTCGTTTTTGCAGTTTTAATAAATTAGAGTGTCAAAATAATTAGTTAAATTAAAATTGCTTCACGGAGAGATTGGATCACCATCCTCAGAAATTTTACTATGAACTGGTTTTTCAGCTTTCACTGTTTTCTCTATAAAGCAGTTTCACGATACAAGTGGTGCCAAGTTCATATTCAACTGGACTGATTTTTCTTTTTGTTGTACTTGTGGCTGCCACTGTGTGATTCCAAACCTTATTTTAACATAATTTTCAGCGGCTCTTATACAGTCTGGTTCCCTTTTTTTTTTCTTCTTCTTTTAAGTGAGATTGATGGCCCAAATTATTTTAATGCTTCTCTTATGGGTTGTGCACGCAGTTTATTTTGTCTGTTGTCGCCTATGCTTTAATGTTTGCAGTTGTCTCCGATTGTGAGACAATGTATGCAAGCGTAGCGATGGTCTCGCATTCAAAGTCTTTCTTTCGAGGAAAATAAAGTGCATCCTGATTTCTTAATAGATGAACAAATTAGAAATGATGCACCATCTGTAATGTATCAAAGAGAGGGCAACCACTCTTCCAAAACAGCATGATTAGCCACACTAATAGTGTCTTTCATAATCTGAAAAGAAACATTAATAAAGAAGGTTGGTAGATTAAACTCAGTATGACCCTCACAACTGTTTACCGACTTTTCAATCCATTCAATAGTTGCTTGGCTAAAGCGACAGACTTCATTGTCGCTTGCAGTCAATTTGGACTTAATCTCATAATCGTCGTGTAGTGTGTGTAGTGCGTTTTGTAGTGTTTTGTGTCAACATTGCAAAACAAAAAGCATGGCCTGGAGGCAGAGTAATGAGGGTGGTGCTGGTATCTCCTCAACCCACTGCATGTAAGTATGCATGCACGTGAATAAAGACGTGGGCTGCGCTCTGCCTTATCTAGCACTCATTAATCCAAACAGTGAGTTGGGTGTTCAACATCAGATAAGAGCAAGGCGAGGGGTTTAAAAAAAAAGGAAGTAGGGTAGAGGTGACAAATCATTATGATAATAGCGGAGATAAGCTCACCTGATCCTGGCATCTTCACACTCGGCCTTGGGAACATTTCAGTTCATTTCTACTGTGCAAGGTGGCGGTTATCGTGTATAAATGACAAGAGGAACTTGCATTAATTATAAGATAGTACGTTGCATGTACGCATGTGTCAGTGCGTGCTGTGGACATTTATTTTATACAAGCCGTCATTTGGGCGATGTTTACTCCCCTAAGTAGAAGCTCAAGTTATTAAATCAGCTGATTTTCATAGACGGATGTGCTTGTTTGAAAGTATCGGGATTTGCAGCGAGCTGTAATCTCTCCCGCGCAACATCTCAAGAAACCAGAGATCTTGCATTGGAGAGACCTCATTATCAATTCTAGCACTCGAAACAGACATCTGGTGCCCGTCGCCAGACTTTTTAAGTTCCCGGAGGCCGTAGTGAATCTTCGCAGAACCGACAGTGCATAAATAAGCAATGAAAACTAAAACAAAACTAAAATAACACCGAAGAGGATAGCCGTTAGCGGGATTCTGGTTAAGGTAAGTCTTTTTAAACTTGAAATAAAAACTTTTTGGAGTTTTAGGAATTAAAACAGCTGCAGGCAGCCACAAGCATGCTCCCGTTGGTGACTTTAAAAATTGAATTGGAATTACACATGTACAAATGATAAAATCTGTAATAATTCGATATTTACACTTGAAAACACTTTTATTCGGCACAGCCACAGGAATTCCACCAAATGTCGCCCAAGTGTTTTGGTCAAATCCACAATGAACTGTGGGTCATATGAACATGAAGAAAAAAACATTTTCTTCTTCAAATCTTATCTGAATGAAAACGTGCGCTCTGCTCTTGGTCTGCCAAATCCCCTAACCTCACTGTGAATGATTTTTCCTTGTGTTTACATTCAAGACAAAGTTTATGACACGAAAGATCAAATCGCAGCTGCAATCAACACGGTGGACCGCTCATCCTGAGGCGCGTTTGGGAAAAGTTGTCTGGCTGCCAGCGGTGACCACATTGAGCACTTGGAAAAAATGAAATAAAAACTTGAAGTTATGTGGAAAACATGTCTCCAAGCTAGAGTTTTCTACTCTTTTTCATTTTTTTAAATATTGCGTGATGATTTTGGCATATTCTTTCTGAATCACCCTGTATACAGCAGAGCCCGCATTTCAAATTAAAATATCACCGAAGATCAGGTCAATTTAATGGTGACAGCCAAAATCATGATTATGATTAAAATTCAATTAACTGAGCAGCCCTTTATACATGATAAACCAATCCCGATTCATTAATTTTTACAAAATAGCAGAAGATGCCATGTTCATGAATTAACCAGAACAACCCTCCATGAAAAGAGTCCTATA